TTTTTTTTTTTTTTTTTTGTTTAGCGGGACTCGTTTATTCAACTTGCATGCATCGTAATACTACGTGATACGTGGTGTTTTAAATTATAAATAAACGAAGACCGTAGAAGAAAATTATTAAGATATTTTTTTTTTTCTTCTTCTCTTGGCTAGTGTTCGTAATTTTTCGAGAGTGGTCTTGTCAAGTAAATTTTTATTCTCACTCCAAGTGCATGGAGTTTAGGAGAAATGCAGTCCTGCTGTTCTTTTTCTTTCTTTTTTTTTTTTTTTTTTTTAATGTAATTGAAAAGATGACGCGATGAAGTTTTGTGAAAGAAACAAAATTACAACCAACATTCTTGACGTGTTCAAGAATTCCACGGATAATTAACTGTTTACAAATAACAAATTATCAGATCTAGGTGATTAAATGCGAGCCAATGTAATTAAAAGGTAATTAACTGCCTAAGAAAGTGAAGAACGTCTTTCGTGTATAATTGATGATACTAAGAAGTTCATTAATTATAAAGCACAGATGAGTAATAATAATATAAAATTTATATCACAAAACGGAAAAAATATTCTTTTCTTTTTTATATTAAGTATCTTACATGAATTTATCGGCAGCCATCGCTTTATATGCGAATCACGTTTCTATAATATATAAACGATTTAGATGCCAAGAAACAGTTAAACTATTAATCGATTGATTGTAATTACTCAGTTTTTATTAAGCACGTCATTGATTGTTCGTTTACTTCGTTTTTCATATATTCCTTAATAATTATCATCAAGGCCTTTCAATCGTAGAAAGTGTCGAACAACTTTTTCTTGTCACTCGTAAGTAAGAAAAAAATTTGTCAAACGGAGAAACACCGGCGTTTAACTCCCGTCGTATTAAAGACGAAGCTTCAAAGACGATGATTAGTGGCCTTTACGGATGGAAAGATTGAAAGAAAACAAGTGAAAGTTGGCGTAAAAATTACACAGTGTAAACTGGAGATGCAAAAAAAAAAAAAAAAACGCGATTTTACTTGATAACTAGAAACGAAGCAGCGCGTCAGTGCATTAGTTTCGTTGGAATGCGCCTTGGAGAAACGATTACCATACCATCTCGCAGAAGATTTCTTTGAAATATCACTAGAATTATACTAGAATCGTTTCGTTGCTTTCGAATTTTTGTTCGAGATGCACGAAGTTTTGACATTTCCAACTCTTGTAACAACAGAAGACTAACTTCGCAATTCTGGAGCCTTCGTCTGAGAAATTATTCGTTCTAGTTTCAAGAGACTTTACACTGCAAATGAATTTTGCAATGTTGTAAAATCTTTCAACTAGCAGAGACCTGGAATTCTTATCATGCATCTATCTTTGTCCATTTTCATACATAATTCTCACATTCGATT